CATAGTTATCTTGGTCATTTCATATAGACACTTACCATCCTAAATCTTCGATATAATCGAATTGGAGATCAAGGAATAGAATATCTGGCCAATGTACTACAGCAACATGCAGTAAGAACAAGTTCTTTATTGATCTTTCGTATATTTACTTTACTGTTGAGAACAGACGCTCACTTTACTGAATCTTCAAATGAATCTAGTCGGCATTCGAGGAGCACAACATCTAGCTAATATATTAAAAAATAATAAAGTAAAATTGTCACATTATTTAGCAATGTATTCAATTTTACTATCTCACGCAGACACTCACTACACTTAATCTTAAAATTAACCTGATCGGCGATCAAGGAATACAATATCTGGCTGAAGCATTGCAAAATAATACGGTATAGTAAGATCTCTTTTGTATTTATCTATTTCATTATCACTTTTGTTTTTGCATATAGATATTAACCGGGCTTAATCTTCGATTCAACCAAATTGGTGACCAAGGAGTATACTATTTGGCTAATGCATTAAAACATAACAAAGTAAGGCAAGTTCATAATTAAGTTCTTAAACATTCATTTTCATCAATGGATATAGACATTTACTACATTAGATCTTGCAGAGAATCGCATTGGCAATCAAGGAACAGAATATTTGGCTGATGCTCTACAGAACAACATTGTAAAAATAGTTTTGTATCTATTTATCTCATATACATATACTTATTCAATATAGACACTCACTACGTTAGACCTGAGATCGAATAGAATCGATAAACAAACAAAGAAACAATTTTTGGCTGTAATTCGAAAACGCAATAAAATATTGAAACTTCTCTTATGAAAAAGGCATCAGATATTTGTTCTCAATGGATGATTTCAACATATACGAAGTCATGCTGATTCATCAAGTGATGCTTCATTATTTATGCCCATGTTTAATATTCTTAGATATGCCGAATAAAATAATAATAATCTTACAGATCCGTCTAATCGTTACTTGAAGCGTCATCAAGTGACACTACAAAAACCTTCACTGTAGTAGATATTCGGTTCATTTCTTCACTCTATGATTGGAAAACAAGATTCCTTAATGACCAAGATGTAGCTGATGTCAAAACAGGTTCACCTGAAAAACGTCGAAAGTAAAAATATCAAAAAGAAAAAAATGTCGAAAGCTAAAAAAAAAGATCTCTGCCCAAAGGTACACAAGTGGGAAATGAAAGTTGATGAAAGTGGAGATCCCCTTCACCCTCATTCTCACTCTTTTGCTCTCACCTGCCATTCTCATTTCTGTTTCGACATATTGACTTTCGACATTATTCAGGATCACCATTAAAACAAGATACCTGATTGAGGTTTATGATTCAAAACTTGGACAAAATATATTTTTTCTACAGACTTGTCTCTCGGAATTAATAAATTCAAAAAAGAGAAATCTTATTTAAAAAAGATTGTGTTACAACACATTCTACACGAATTCTAGTGAGTATAAGACGTTTCGAGTTCTAATCGCACGGTGTCTTTCGTAATCTCATCTCGATCATCGAAGAACACTAACTTCGGCACGTTAGCACGTCCAATATTCACAAAGTTTATTTGGTTGACATCGACAGTAAAACAATTCGTGTTTCCTGTCGATGACACGCTAATCATAAGACTACACCAGACGATGATAAGCTTCAATTTTTCAATGAGTCGATTGAGAGTAGGTAGTATAGAAACATCATCGTTTGAATTTATACATTTATAGAATATTAGTGTACTCTTGACGTCGTTCAATGAGAGCCATTCAAGCATAAACTTTTCATATCGCCATAAATTAAGCGTCTTGTCGCCTACGTTAATCACATCATTATGTAAATGAGACCAAACAGCAAGAAACAAAAACGGGTATATGTCCTTCGGCGAATTAAATTTGTGTCGCTGACCAAAGGGCATACTAAGAAAAATGCTCAAATCGCAATTGTTGATCCATTTTTCTCTCTCGCTTAAATAATAATGGAGAAACCGGAGTCGGCGCTGCGCCTTCGTTCGGATATCAGTTCCACGAACTGCTTTATGAAAACTCCGTAAAACGGACCACTGATCGTACTCTGTCTCATAATCAGTCACCTTCACTATATGTGTACCGTATTCGAATGAAGAACATACAGTTTTTGTCCGTTCTTTTTTTGGTAATTCTAGATGGCGATCAATTTGTCTTGAAGATGTCTCTAAGTTGAGCTTAATGATTTTACGTTGTAAACGATCTATTATTCGGTGGTTTTTAGTGAGCTTGGCGAATTCCACAGCTTTGTGGTAACAATTCAAAGCATTATCTGTATAATAATGAAAAGTGGAATAAGCATCTCCGACGCATTGAAAAGCTTTCGCGGCTTTATCGACATCATACTGGAATGAATTAATATTTCCATTACAAGATTGTAAGAAAAGCTCGTATAAGGCAATAATTCGTGTTGGTTTGCTTAATGGAATTTCGCTTAAGAAGAAACCAACAGTCTTCTCCTCAGACTGAAATATAGAAGGATTATTGGTGATGAAAGATTGCTTACGTAATTCGATGGCTTTAGCGATTGATTTCAGATCGTTGAAGCCTTCGTACATGACCATGACTAAAGATTCATCGTGCCGCTTACGGATTCCACATTCTCGCGTCAATCGCTGCCACCATTTACTCCAATTGAGCTCATTTTTCTTCTTCGTGTATTTCTGCACAAACTGAAGCAATTCATTCTTCATTACATCGCTTTCATCCTTTATTCGTGTACTTAATACGTTCCAACAAAAGTCAAATCCCTCTCCATCAGCATATAATTCTAACACAATGGGCACCCAAGAACGCTCTAATGTTGATCGACCTATGTATTTTATACGGAAAAGGCTTCCAACACTAAAAAGAACTTCTGCTTCGTCCGATATGGCTGCATTTTCAGCAATATCGACAAACTGATGGCAAAATATCGATGATATACCATCTACAGTATAATAATGGGCGGGAATAATAATTTGATAAAGACAACGAACATAACCAGGACAATCATCCTGAATGAACTGAAATGCGATTTCGGGGTCACGCGTTGCTGAACCGAACGTGTTGAGAACTATATGTGAATTTCGTGATTGACAACAATCTTTGAGTCGCTGTAATTCGGCTTCTTGCATGTACTGACCTCGATAGACAATTCGAATGGGCAATCCACTTTTTCTCATTCGAAAATCGATCGTTTGGCGCACATATCTTTCTTTCAGTTCATTGTATAAATCACTGATGTATGGTTGAAATTTAATGATAATATCAATATCATGAGTTCGTAATGCGAAGTTGATGATTCGATAGACAAAGCTATCCTGACAATAATATTTTATTGCTTGATTGGCAGTATAATTTTTTTCGAAATCGTCAATTTTTTCTACCATCCAAGTATTGTGTCTATAGAACGAACGACATTCATTTAGCATCTCTTTCCAAGTATTCTCTGTACGAGGTTGATGAATCAGAACTTTGATGAATAATTGATAACACCGACCATCATTAGTCGACGCTTTTTGAAATGAACTTTCATCGAGAAATGACCAACGAGATGCAAAATTTTTCACCTCGCCACATACAGTAGTTAAAAGTTGTGTTTTATCTTCGAAGACACCTCGAATTTTTTGAACTGCTTGCACCCAATTCTCATGCTTTGCACGATCATGACAAAAGACGTAAATACATACGATCTGAGGTAATTCAAAGAGCTGTTGGCCATCCGTTCCCCCGAAAGCACCAGAAATAATTAGAAAGATTTTTGCCGCTTCATTGGCTTGAATAAATGTCAGACTTGAATCCAAGCTATTAAATCCATGTACAGTATCGTTAAAAATATTTCGAAGATCGCTTATTAAAAGTTGACAGTCATTACTTGTCTCCATTAGAACATCAATTACAACAATAATGAAATCAACCAAATTATTTTCCGTTTTCAGTGAAAGAGATCGAAGTAGGATAGGATCGACTTGACGTACTGGTTCTATTTCTGAAGTATGATTAACATTACTCATTGTTTCTTCCCTTTTGTACACTGCTTGTAAAGCTTTTTACTTAAATTTTATTTCTTTCACCGTTTGACACCCACATAATGACGAACTATGCAAATATATTCATGCGCACTGAAGAAAGAGAACGAACATGCCCTTTTTCTATGTGCAAACAAATTGGTTAGACATCAAAGAAGACGAAAAAAGGAAGCGAGCAAAGAGTAACGAAGAACAACTCACACTAATGATCCCGATTTATCTTGATCACTTTTTTGCTCACGTCTAGGGGTGACCCTTTATCTTTATTTTCATTTATTCTAAAGGATAAAGATAAAATAAAGGAATAAAGGAAAAATAAAGGAATAAAGGAAGAATAAAGGAATAAAGATAACATAAAGGAATAAAGGAAAAATAAGGGAATAAAGGAAGAATAAAGGAATAAAGATAACATAAAGGAATAAAGGAAAAATAAAGGAATAAAGGATACTCTTACAAGAGATAATAAGACTCCAAGAGTTCGAGGGAAGGGTTTTTTTGAAAAATGATGATTTTTTATAAAGTTTGACCAAAGGTTTTCGGAGTCGAGGAATCCGAATCTGTGATCGGTTTTTTGAAATTTTGAATTTGATTTTTTTCAAAGGAGGGTGTGGGTGTGTGGGTGTGGATGTGGGTGTGGATGTGAGTGTGGGTGTGGGTGTGGGTGTGAGTGTGGGTGTGGGTGTGGGTGTGAGTGTGGGTGTGGGTGTGGGTGTGAGTGTGGGTGTGGGTGTATCTTTGGTTTCGTTACCCACTAGCACACCCACACCCACACCCACACCCACACCCCGCCCAAACCCACACCCC